ACAGTTCATACTAACGTTAATAGTGTGTCATAAAATTAGTTGCTTTCAATTGTATCATGCCATTATAAGTGTTGATTAATATTATACAACGTGTTTAACAACTAAATTATCTGTTCTTCTGTGTAAGTTTCTATAATATTTTTCTTTGTATTACTAATCTGATTATTATAATCCAAATTCAACATTTCTACAATTATTATGCTTCCAGTTTTATATTTGTTTTAGTCTTATTTTGTGTTTAAAGGAAATACAGTGATTAATTTTATAAAATTTATTTTTATTTTTGTCAATAGAAATTACTGTTTTATTTTTGTTCAAAACATTTCTATATAAATTTAGTTTGTAATTAAAGTTTTTTGTGTGTTACAATAACAACTAGATTCGTGATTTTGTAACAATGCATTTGTGTGCCATTCAGAGTGACTGGAACAAATTCACCAAATTTTGAAGTGTGTTAATTTATGGTCTGCTGTCATTTTACAACACTAATTTTGATTTTAATATTTTAGATCCCTCGTTTTGAAAAATGGCTGAGAAAAGTAGAGGTTTGTATCAATACACTTACAAGCCAGAATTTTTGAAGTTTGGCTTCACTAAGCTCAAGGAACAATCAGGCTTATCTCATCCCCAGTGTGTGAAGTCATCTTTGAAAGTAAACAAACTAAAGCGGCATTTGACTTCTGGTTAACAAACCATTGATCTTGGAGATATAAAGAGGATGGTGTCAAACGAATTAATCTTGATGCACCCTCAAAGTCTTCGATTTGTTTCTTTCGAGAATACCACATTGGCCTCTGTTGAGGTGGCCTGGAAAACAGTGCAATGCAAGAAGCCTCACAACATTGGAGAAAAAGTGGTGAAAAACTTATAAGTTTCCAACAACAGTATCAAACGAGGAATTGAGCTCATCTCTGAGGATATTTTGGATCAAGTTCTAATGACCCTGAGAAAAGAATGGAAGTTTTCCCTCCAAAAAGATGAATCTGTCAATGATCCTCAGCTCCTGGTTTTTGTATGGTACAAGGGAGAAGAAGACTTCATTAAAAAATTCCTCTTCTGCAGTTTACTGTCAACCACAACAAGAGGCAAGAACATCTTCACACTGGTTGACAGTTTCATCAGGAATCATGCCCTTGAGTGGACAAATTGCTTGGCTGTCTGCACTGATGGAGGTCCATCCATAATGGGAAGCCGAGTAGGATCTTGCACTCTGGTTAAGGAGATCAATCCCAGTGCTGTCTTGATTCACTGCTTCCTGCATCAAGAAAACCTAGCAACCAAAGAAATGCAGCCGAAGCTCCACTCATTCCCACAGATGCCATCAAAATTGTGAACTTTATAAAAGCAAGAGGCCTGAACATAAGGGTACTTCAAAAGATGTATGAGGAAATGGGATCTGAGCACCAAGACCTGCTCTTTCATTCTGATGTCTGTTGGCCATCTCGAGGAAAGATCCTTGCAAGACTTTTATAAATGAAAACCAAAATTGAAATATTACTTCATGAGAAGAAGCATGTATTGGCTAGCTGCTTCAAGGATCCCTCTTAACTGGCAATATTGGCCTATCTGAGTGACATCTTCCATCATCTGAATGAACTGAACACAGATATATTGGGTCGCAACCAAACCATGATTGATATTGATTGAAATGTAAAAATTAGAAATGTATTAGGCTGGATAAGGTAAGATAAGTACTAATAATAATATATTTTCACAAGCTATGCTTGTGAGCATCTCGCAAGTAGTCCCTGTGTGATGTTAATTTGATAGGGTAGTGTGAGCCAAGTAATTTACAAATTTTATGGTGTGAATAATAGTTTTGACACAGTACAAAGGGCAATAAAATTTAACAATAAACAGATGTATACTGTTATGATACTTAAGCTATTTAGGATAAACAAATCAAGTTTCATGTTACAATCTGAAGTCATTCTAGAAAAAAAAAAGGGTAACTTAGATTTTGTTCACATTTTTTTGAGGTGGTTACAAGGCTGGACAAATTGATCAACCTCGTATAGAGTTAGGGTAGAGAAAAATAACAGATAAATTATGAAGTTTTTCTGAAAAAAAACAAAAACATTTGATATTTATTTAGGAGGTTTTATGGATTATGCAAATAAAATTTGAAAAGTATTCTTAATCTTAATATGAAAATCATTTTGCACTCAAAGTTTTAGTAAAAATATTTAATTAAAAATTCTGATTTTATTTTTACAAAAGACTTAAAGTTTACTGAAAGCTTGCCAAATTTCATGAAGATACAATAGGTGCTGTCAGAGTTATAGTATGTATACCATCTTGGTTATATGGTGGTCACAAAGTTCTGTAAAATACAGGTACCCGTTCTGATAGGGTTAATAGTTCCACATCACAAGTTGCAAATCACCAGATGAACATGTAACTCATGTTACCTATTCAAATTATTTAATGCATGAGCTAATCACAAGTATAACTTATGAAAAATGTTTATTATTATTATTTCATTATCTTACCTTATCTAACCTAAAAAATTTCTAATTTTTACATTTTAGTTATTTTTATAATAAGTAAAGAATGCACATGAAAAACAAGAAATATAGTATTTACCTGGGCCACCTATTTTTTGGCGGTCAATTGTCAATGAAACTTAAACCTACTTTTTTATATTAATGGTACTACTATACTAAATAATTTTTTATTTAATTGAATAGTGCACCTAAGAACACAGGTTAATAACACATAAAAAGCATACAGTCTAATAATTATTATTATGGCCTCCTAACTATGCAACAAAAGCTGTTGAAAATTCAGCTAAACTGGTCACTGTGTTTCCCATGTTCTGATAGGGTTAATAGTTCCACCACACGAGTTGTAAATCACTAGATGAACATGTTGCTCATGTTCCCTTTTGAATTATTTAATGCATGAGCTACTCACAAGTATAACTCATGAAAAACGTTTATTATTATTATTATATTTCATAATCTTACCTTATCTAACCTAATGTTTATTATCATTATTATTATATTTCATTATCTTACCTTATCTAACCTAATACACTTATCATTTTTACATTTCAGTTACTTTTATAATAATAAATAAAGAATGCGCATGAAAAACAAGAAATATAGTACTTACCTGGGCCTTCTTTTTGGTGGTCGATTGTCAAGGAAACTTAAACCTACTTTTTATATTAATGGTACTACTACACTAAATAATTTTGTATTTAATTGAATAGTGCACCTAAGAACACAGAATAATAACACACAGAAAGCAGACAATGTCTAATAATTATTATAACTTTTCTGGCTTCCTAACTATGCAACAAGAGCTGTTAAAAATTCAGCTAAACTTGTCACGTGTTTCCCATGAGAACAAAGTTTAAACTGGAAGCGAAATAGTTAATTCTCTGAAAACAATGTGACATAATATGTCATTTGATAGATTAAAACTTTAGCTTTATAATGGTTATCAACAATATAGTTTTAAATATCAGAGAACTATTGGCAATTTGTGAAAGATGGGATGTGACATGTGAGTCTGTTTATGGCTTTGTAAACAAATAAGATTGAAGGCTGTAAAAATTATGCTCTGCCTGAGTAATAACTAAATTATAATGAGTAATTTATGTTAAATTCTGTGCTTCTCAGAGAGGTGGTAAATAAAGTAGAAAATGGGGAAGAACAACAGAAGAAATGTCAAAATTTTCATACTAGGGGAGACTGAGGATTTTGTTATAGATTTCATTATAAAAACTAAGAAATTATACATTATTAAATTTGGTTTATTAAGTATGTTTTGATGCCAAGTTTATTTAAAAAATGATGATAAATAAGTTTAATTAAATTTTGAAAGCAACTTTTAAAAAAATGTTGACAAGCACACTTTTACCTGCTCATGGCAAGAGAGTTAAACTGTGAACCCATAAAAATTTTACCCTTTCTATGACAAATTAGTGAATCTTTTATCCTTGAACATTCTCTTTGCAAATTCTTTCACCTATAAATTATTTTAAAATTTGTACTTTCATTTAATGTTTATAGCTGTTAAATATTAAAACACCTCCCAACTTTAAAAAAGGATTTCTAAATTTGAAAAGATGCAGTTGAAGGGCTAAGCTTCTGGAGCATTAGTGGCAAACATAGGATATCCTTTTGAAAGTTAAATGTTTTTTATGAAAACAAATTATTCTAGGCTTCATTTGGTATATTATGAAGTTAGCATTTCGGACATTCCTTTTCCCAATTGCTTAAGCTGTTTTTATCATATATGTAGAATACATATCACAATGAATTCAGTTCCCTACATTACACACATTCTTTTCTATATATACACAGAAGACTTTCTGTGATGATTTGCACATACAAAAGGACATTCAATATATCACTACAGCAATTCCTTTTTTGATAAACAAATAAAAATATTGAAAATGGTGTATTATGTCTTTTCATATTCATAAAGCATATACTTATTTTCTTTGCACAGTAACACCACCACTATACACATTTTTCATTTATTTCACCTAATAAATAAGAATGAAGATAGCATAATAAATTGAATTGATGTTTCCATTGCTATGGTGACAAATTCTATTTCACAGTACTACTTGAGAAGTTACGGAGAACTAATATTTCCAACAGACAAATGAAACTTTTTACAAAACCAAAAAGCACAAAAATTAAGACCATTTGATATGTTTGTCATATCCATGTGTGTATGTGACTTGAAAATTTGGTGTTTCAAATGTTCAGTGAGAGAGCTAACCATTTCGTATATGCATGTGTAAAACATATCAAATATTCACATGCTGAATGAATATAATGAGATATTACCTTAAAATATCAATATGTGATAAATTAAGATTAACAATTTTAAATACATTAAAAGCAACAGTTAGCAGACTAACAACAAAATAATTCTATACAAAAAACTTTATAATTCTTTGGTTTCATGAATTTAACATGCACAACATTTTTGTAGCCCTAACATTATTTTTCAGTTTCTATTATTGAAAGACTTACATAGTCAAAATTGGTGCAATGTAGTCTAAATTTCCAATTAAAATTCCTAGTTCACAGATTCCCAAGGTAAGGAAAAGAGCCCGAGTTGGTTCATTCTTTGAGGAACTGTAAGAAAACACATTTAGGAAGGGGATAATCTGGTCTTTAGCAATAGCCTGCATCAGTCGAGGTGCTCCTACAAAGAGAAAATCAAAATCGTACATAATTATTTCAAATAAGAAAGTATTCTTAAAAGCAAAAGTTTGGAGATGGCTTGAATGGGTAAAGAAAGAAACTTTATTATAAGTAACAAATGTACAATGTTACAACAAGCTTTTGTCATCAACAGGTACAACTAGTTTACACTGATACAATAATATATACAGTATGTAACAAAGAGGTTAAATGACCAGTTATTGCTTAACAGCCAAGTAAAGGCATCTTTGTACCCCCAGGAAGTTGTTTTAGAGAGGGACTTATTTGTTCAATTAAGATGGCTTTCTTTATTTTGCATTTGTTGGGGTTTGGTTCTTTGTTTCAAGTTACATGTTTTGAGTAGATATACTTTGTTTTTTGAGTTGCAATGATGGTAAACATGGGAGGGTTTTTTTTTTATTATATTAGGTGATTCTGGTTTCTCTGATGTAGAATTCTGGAAAGTGGTTACACATTATTTTATTACAAGTCTTTTTTTTACACAAAAAAAATAATTTTTTAAATAAGTATTTCCACTAAAAATTTCTCTATGAATTCATGGAGTTAGTGCTGACTGCTCCAAGTGCAAAGTGATTTTCATATAAAGATTGAAAACCTTTCTTTATATGAAAATTGTCAAATTTCATTTGCATAATCTCTAAAACCTTCTAAACAAATATCAAACTTTTTTCATTAAAACTGTCTACTTTATCTGTTATTTTCTCAACCATAACTCTACACACATTCAATTAATTTGATCGACCATGTAACCACCATAAAAAATACAAAATAAATTGAAATCACCTCTTTTCCTTTCTATAATAACTGCAAATTGTAACTGGATACCATAATTGTTTATCTTAAATAGTTTAAAACTTATAACAATACACATCTATTTATACTTAATTTTAGTTTTATTACTCTTTGACCCATATCCAACTAATACTTCCATTACACAAGTTGTAAAACACTCGGCGAATATGTAGCTTACGTTACCGTATTGAGTGAAGTAATGCACAACCAGCTCGTGAACATACCTCATGAAGAATTTTGTTATTATTATTCTTAATTATCTTACCTAACCTAACCTAATAAGTTTCTAATTTTCACATTTTAGTTACTTTTATAAAAATCAAGAAAAAAAAGAAAACAAGAGTAACATCACTTACCTGTGACTTCTTGTTTTTATGATGTCGGTTGACGATGAAACTTAAGCCTACTTTTTTTTATAATAATGATACTAGTACACTAAATAATTTTTATTTATTTAAATATTGCACCCAAAAAAACAAAATAATAACATGCACAGAGCAAACAATGTCTTATAACTATCTTAATTCATATGGCTTTCTTTAAAACTTACCTAAGATTCTTGATATAACCACCACAAGAGAAACTTTCAAACTATAAATGAAATGAACAGTATTCTGTACTAAAAATAACGTAATAAGTCATTTGATAGATTAATACCCTGGCTTTCTATTGGTCATGCATAGTATAGTATAAGATGTCAGAGAGAATTATTGGCAGTTTGTAAAGATATGATATTACAGATAGGTCTGATTTTCAGGTTTATGACTCTGTAATCAAATAAGATTGAATGAAGGATATAAAATTATGTTTTAATTTAGAAATATCTGTATTATAATGAGTAATTTACCTTAAATTCCATATTTCTAAGATAGGTGGTAAATAAATTAGAGAAGATCTAGAGAACAAATGTCACAATTCTCATATTAGAGAATATTGAAGATTTTTAAAAATATTTCCTTACAAAATTAAGAACCTAAAACTATATACTATTAAAAGTGATTTATTAACAATGTTTTGTTACCAAGTTTATTTATATACAATGATATTAAAGTAGGTTAATTAAATTTTGAATGTAACTTAAAAAAAAGTTGCACACTTTGAACTACCTGTAGCAAGAGGGTTAACTATTTGTGTACAGCAAAGTAAGAGTGCACTTGTCATGACATTTTATGATTCAATTAAATTAAACATCTTTATCATCAATGTATGTCAATAAATCTGGCATAAAAACAGTTTATAATTCACAATTTTATATCATCTAAGATGTACTTACTTAATTTCCAAATAAAGTACAAAAACAAATTCTCAATTTTCATTTTTCTGTGTCTTGCAACTTATCTGACCTCTGATTTCTCAATTTCAAAAACTTATAACTTCAATAATAGACTCCAACCTATTAGAAACACAAACTATACATAATTACACACAAAATTCTAAAATATGAACTTCCTACTTTCTTGATTAGCTGATATATATCAATACGTTTCTCAAACCTACCCACCATATTTGAGATTGTTTCCTAATCAATCTTACATGGCTGACAGACATGTTTACAGCCAACAGAAACAGCAGATTTTACTCTACATAAATCTTAAGATGCCTTATTTAACTTTGGTGGCAAAAGCTACAGATCCATGAAAATTGTTTGTGTGTGTTCATAAGATTTGCTGTGACACAAGATTTTTTTAACCTATTTCCAGTTCACTTAAAAAATAAATAATAGTTTGGGGGACATTACATTCTAGTGATTGATCAATATTTTGTATTATAAAATGCATATTTGAAAGCTATAAGAATTGTTTTTTGAAGATTCAATGAGGCTTAGACATGGGTGCAAAAATTATGTGTGTGTGTGTGTGTTACTGAGCTCTATAGGAAGTAGCTGTGATTTACTGCTTTTTCATGTAAGAATTATTGTTCCTGTGGTATAAAGGATGGAAATACAACCATATAATCAAAAGTAAACAGATGTGAAAAAGGTTAACAGTTGAAAGTGTTAAGTAATTTGAAACTACTTGACCAATAATGCAGTCAGTGCAGAAGCAAAAATGGTATTACTAATTTTATATTTTTCAACTTTTCATTTTACAGTACACTGATGATTTCTCTACAGTTAGTGTTAGGGTAGAGAAAATAAGAAATAAAATATAAAGTTTTGCCAAAAAAAAACTTTTGATATTCATTTAAGAGATTTTGTTTTATGCAAATGAAACAGAAAACTGTAAGATGTAAAGAAGTATTATTATTCTTAGCATGAAAATAATCTTTCACTCAGATTTACACAGGCAAATCTTTAGTAAAAATAATCTGTTAGTCAGGCTACATACAGGTTAACCCTATTGCCATGGGCATCCTTTACTGCACATCATGAGGTTTTAGTACTTATGTTCAAAATTTAATTAAACTACTTTTTGTTTATGTTATGTCAATTGGTATAGCATAAATTCTTAGCTAATATTTTAATAGTATATAAGTTTTTAATTTTATATGGCAAAAATATTAAACAAAATCCTGAAAATGTTTCAGAAATGTGACATTTTCTCTAGGCATCCCCTCTCAATTTTATTCACCTCCCCTTCAATAAGTATGATATGTAACACAAATTACTCACTATAAAATCGTCATTGCTCAGACAAACCATAATTTTGATGGCCTTCAATCTTGTTTAGTTACAGAGCCATCAAATAGAAAATCAGACCCCTCTTACCATACCCACCTGTTACATCCTCTCTTTCAGGATTTGTTAATAGTTCTCTCTTACTTTTAATATTATATTATTTATAACCAATAGAAAACCAAGGTTTTCATCTATCATATTATGTATTATATTATCTTGTTTTCTGAACAGAAAAATTGTCATTTTCTCTGTTAGTACAAGCTTCGTTCCCACAGGAAACATATCAACTAGTTTGGTCACGGTTTTCATCTATCAAATGACTTATTGTATAATGTTGTGTTCTGAATTCAGAGTAATCAATTTCACTTGTAATTCAACTTTGATTCCCACGTGAAACACAAGACTAGGTTTGATGAAATTTTAATGGCTCTTGTCACATAGTTAGAAAGCCAGAAAAATTGTGATTGTTATGGGAAATTGTCTGCATTTTACATGTTATTATTGTGTGTTCTTTGGTGCATTATTTAGTTAAATAAATATTATTTAGTGCATTACTATCATTTGTATAAAAAAGTAGGGTTAAGTAACATTGACAGTAAAAAAATTAGATGGCCCGAGTAAGTACTTTATTTCTTGTTTTTCATGTTTATTCTTTATTTATCATTTTAAAAGTAACTAAAATGTAAAAATAAGGATCTCTTTGAGTTAGTTGTGGTTAGATTAGCTAAAATAAATTAATAATAATAATATAATAAAAATGTTTCACAAGGGACACATGCGAGCAGCTCATGGGTAATGTAATTTGATAGTATAACATGAGCTCCACATTCCCCAAGTGATTGACAACTTATAAAGGCACGTTTAGTATTTAGACATGGTTCAAGGGGGCAATAAAAGAATAAAATTTAAGTATAAATAAATGTATACTGTTATGAGTTTAAAGCTACTTAGAATAAATAAATGTAGTTTCATGTTACAATTTGAAGTCATTCTAAAAATCCAAAAAATTGTAATTTAGATTTATTTCTCTTTTTTTGGTGGTTACGAGGTCAGTCAAATTGACCAACCTTGTATAGGGTATAGAAAATATAAAGTTTTATTGAAAACAAACATTTGAAATATATTTAGGAGGCTTTAGAGATTATGCAAATGAAATTTGAGATTTTTGAGATGAAGAAAAGTATTTTTAATCTTAACATGAAAACCACTAAAAATTATTTTTTGAATGTGAAAGTCTTATAATACTTACTGAATGTCAACAAAATTTAGTGAAGATATACATACTATATTAAAAGTTAGTAGTATCAAAGCTATAAAGTCTTTAAACAAGTACAAAGAGGTCACGTCGTTGGACAACTCGATTGAGCCTGTGTTGAGAGAGGTAAAGGGAGCATGTCTTACCATTTTATTAGAATCATTTTAAAAATTTGATTAAATAACTATATTATCACTGAATGTCAATAAATTTGGCATCACAACATAATTCATAATTCAAATTTTAATATCATATATGTTTTAGTTTCTTAATTTGAAAGAAAATGTTAAAAAAAAAACAAATATTCTTTTTTGTGTGTCATATGACATCTCCCTGTTCAGTTTAGATTTCATTATGCCTACCATATAACATCTATAGTAGTTAATGAATTGGAAACTCAAACTTCAGACATTTACAAGCTAGAATATAAATTGACAACCTCCCACCATTTGATTTGCTGAGACATTAATATATTTTGCAAATCTACCCTGGTAGCCCTGCCCACTACTCCATTCCTTTGAAACCACTTGCCTACTCATGCCTAATTCTCTTAAGTACATGTTTATAACCAATAGAAAGAGCACATTCCAAGATACATTTTGACTGGTTTGTAAATGGCTTGAAGGGAAAACTTGTCATTTCACTGGAAACAGTGAAGTCTGTTGACTAAGTTGTTGCTCTGAACAGAAAAAGAGATATTTTTTTAACTCACATATAGTTAGGAAAAAAGATAAATTACAGTGTTTTTATGTGTACCAATTGATCATTTTTGACTTTCTAAGATGCATCTCTGAATCTACAAAAATTAATTTGTCTTTCACCTCCACTTGAGAGAATAAACTTCAGTTTTACACAATAATCAGTTTGTTAAATTCATATAATAACAATACCAGAAAACTTACTCTAAATTAAAGTTGTATCTTCATTAAAACAATACAAAAGAACTTACTTAAACCTACACTTAGTATCAAATTGCTCTATTGAACACAGTACAGATAACTTCTTCAAAGTTTCAACCATTAAAACATTCTTGGATTGACTTTTTGGCTTGATTTGGATGTTTAATCCTACCTGTTAAAGATTGTAATCCAGCTCCAACAGTGGACAGAAATGACCCTATCTTAATGACCATTGGGTGAGGCCAAGCCAGAACAGCAACAGCCAAATCTCCACCAACGCTCTCTCCAAATCTTACAAAAAAAAAAGAAAAAAGAAAAGAATAAAAAGAAAAAAAACTTAATTTTAAACTGAAGAAAGAAAAATCATATCCGAAAATACTTGCAATGTGCAAGTAAACTTACTTGTCTCGAAGAAATAGGTTATCAGAAGTTGCTCCAAAGAGTAAAACACCCGTCAAATCTCAAAAAAGCTAAGGATAATATCCAGTTTTCCACTCAGAGCAAAATAAGATGTATCAAGAAAATAGTTTCTTAGAAAAAAATTTTCCTGTCACAAATATGCCTAACTGTTTATTGAACTTTTGTTTGATCAAATCCTTTTTTAAATAATGCTTACTATTACAAACATTCTCCTGTTCCTCATTATTTACATGAAATTCTTTGGTTTAGTTTTTGCACTAGTATACTAACTGTTCAACTAATATCATGTCCTCTGAAATTCAAAGAAAACAAAAACAATGTAATAACATTTCTGTTAGACAGTGACTGATGTTAAAAGAATTCATTACAAATTCCTCAGTTTAAGAAGAAAAAAAATTTCCACTTGTGAAAGGTTTAAACTAGATATGTATAAGCTCCGTTAACTTAAATCTGAAAATAATTATAAAAAGGATACAAACAAAAGATGTTGTTAACTGAGCTGCCAGAGTACCAGACGGTATAGATTTGGAAGCATCTTCAAGATCACCAGATCTGTTAGACCCTGCCATCAGTCCTGGAAATATATGTTAAACTTTTTGTAGCGAATACTACTTATCTTATTATGAGTTAGCAGACAGTAGACCCCAGTACTTACATTAGCAGTAATAACCCTAGGTCTGAAACTGGCAAAGATACTGTTTTTGATGGTATTGTTTTTTTCTTCTTCACACTAATAACTAGGGATGCACGGGTACCTGGTCAGATATTTGACCCCAGCCGGGTATTAGGCTACACGGTAATATTCGGCTGAGGTCAAGTGTCAAAGTTAGGCACCTAAGCCCTAATCTTTATGGCAACTAACATGGTACTGAAAGTTACATTCAATAATTGGTTTAGTTTTAAAAAAATGTTTTCCCGAGCAACAAAGACTGACTGCCCCCTGAAAGTTGGGGATTCAGAGAACAATAGGGATTAATAACAGGAATGGCTTGAGAAGTGAATTTCTGGGGAAGGTGGGGGTTTTGAGAACAATAGGCGTTAGGGTTTGAGAAGTTGGGGCTGGGCATTGAAAGTTGAAAGTAAAACTTGAATGTTCTGTTGGTAATTATTCAGTTAAATGTAATAAACATCAATTTTGTTTTTGTTTTTAATGTTTGTGTATGCTGTTTGTTGTTTTCTTTTTTGGGGGGAGGGTGAGGGTAGAACTCGGTCCCGGTTCACACCCAGCCCCAGCCAAAACTTAGTGACTGGATACCCTTGACCCGGTATTCAGCCAAATTTTACTACTTGTGCATCCCTACTAATAACCATTCTCATCTTCATGATCTATATGAATTAGTGGTTTAAAATATTTACAGCTATCAACTGACCAAATTTAAGACCAATCCTTAGAAAATTTAGACTTATTTTCACAGCAAATTAACCAAAAATAACAAAAATATTAATAATAAACAATCATTCAAATACCATCTATTGTTATTCATTTACAATGAATACCAATGTGTTTAACAACAATGTGTATTTCTAATCATCTAATATAACATGTTCTATTACTCTTGTATATGACTGACAACTGAGAGCATGAGCATTTTATTTTGGTCTGTGACTGATTTAAGACTTTTAAAAACCTACAGCAACATATTCAAACTATTCAAGGCCTTAAAAAAGAAAAACTAATTTAAGACTTTTTAAAGCCCCATGGAAACATTATTAGATACATTACAAACATTAACATTTTCCTCTATCAAAAATGTATTTCTAATAACACCTCCTTTGACACTATAGCTTTACCCCCATGAAAGATTCTCTTCTTCACCCATCTTAGCATTTGTATGAATCTAACCTTGATTGCTGTAGCCTTTATACCTCACTATATTGCCCAAAGCAAGTTAAATTTTGTGATTCTTTCCACTTACATCAATGCACCCTCTATCCCAGATCTGTATACAAGCTCCCAGTTATTACTTCCTATTCAATTTTCTTGATGGTCCAATTACCAAACCAAAAACCAGCCAACCTGTGGGGAGGAAGAGCAGGAGAGTATGAAAGAAGGTAAGTATTATTGGAAATACATTTTCAGTAGAGGAAAATGTTAGCTTCCAAAACACACCTCTTCTCACACTATAGCTAGAATACCACATTGACAAGGTGGAGAGGCCAGTGAGAAAGCATCTGCATAGAAAAGAGGTGTGCAAAAATGAGATATAGTAATATCACACTGCTTCTGAAAAAATTTATGTTCTTCACCTGGACAACATGAAATCTAATTCCTGGGTGATAAAGGTCTACTGGCCACAGATGCAAAATCCTAACGTCATTAGAAAAACATGTATTTATCCAGACCCCAACCAGGCAGACGAGGTCCTACATCTTGTCACTGGAATTATAGGGTTGTGGACACAAATCTAGATCTAAATCGTAGTAGCTAGGGCATGAGGACCACTGTTGATTTAGTTTTGTTTAGTAGTGTGGTATTATTGGAACCCAACCTGAAAGTTATAGAATGTTGCATACAGGATCTTTCACACCTCACTCAACCCGAAGAAGTAAAGATTACGTGGCTTGGGATTACAAACAGGAATCCTAACTCCCCAACCTGAGAGGCAAGGCAACACTTTCACTTCCTACCTCCAAAATTACTAGGAGCATGTGGAACAAACAAAGTCCAACCAATGGATCCGAAAGTGACGTTCCCCATGCAGATTACAAGAACTCTCTTCCAAGATCATCAAAATAAAGAGAATGAATAAAAAAAAGGGCTACGCTCAACTCATCCGAAAAACAAAGATTCATCTATGAACCAGAATTATGAGGAGGTTCTTGCGTAGGCTGGTTCTGCTCCCATCACATATCTAAGTAAAATATTTAGGATTATTGGTAGGAGGGCACCCAGCTTTGCCCTAATCTCCTTCAGTGGAATAATGAGGTCAAGCATAACTCAGGAGGAATAAACCTCTGTTCACTATACCAGTGACTGGAAACTGGGAGTGGTGAGGACTTTATTGCTGAACTAGGAGAAATGGGGTGGGGTGGGGGGAATACTCATGTTGGAGAGTCCCAAGGAACGATGCTCTGGAGACAGTACAATAGGTGAACCACTTTCCCTATTTTGAAAAGCAAACCAACCCCAATTTATTCAATCTAGAGGTCAGTAGGGATGAGCAAAATTCCATTAAGCTTTACTCATGATAGTCCATCAGTGGTGCTCCAGTAGTGTATTGTTTTTTGCATTAAAATTGTTTACCACCTGGAAAGCACACATGGTGGTCTTATGTAACACCCTATCTCAACAGAGCTCATTGCTACCTGGACATTTATATTGGTCAACAGGTAGCTAGATCCAAGAAGAAAAACATAAAACAAAAATGAATCGTCTAAAGCATAGGTATGACAACATCTTCTTAAATTGAAAATGTATTTCCAACTATACTTAATTCCTATCACACTACACTCGGTTTCTTCCTTTGTCCATCTAAGCATTGGTCTGATTTTTTCTCACTTGCTCCAGTCTTTTATACCACATTTAATTGCCTTTGGCAATATATGACACACTCCACCTATGTCAATGCACCTTCTATCCTGCTTTTGTATATAAACACCTCATTCAGATAATGTTATTTCTTTGAGATTGACTCAATCAGGAGTCTCTAACACAAGCTCTTAGTGGGGGGGGGGGGGCAGGAGAGTGAGAGAGGAGGTAAGTATTATGGAAAATACATTTTTGATTTAAGAAAATGTTAACTTCCAAAACATACCTCCTCTCACACTACAGCTAGAATCCCATATTGAGAAGGTGGAGGGGCCGGTGAGGGCATTATCCAGACCAAAAGTGTCTACACAGATCATGGGTGTGTCAAGATAAGAGAACAGGGTGAAAACTGACATTAAGCAATCCCAGGGCCAGTAGAGAGCTAAGAGAGTCAGCATAAATTGTACAGTTAGTGTACTGCTTAGCTTCTACATGATCCTGGGCAAGAGAAATGGTATACAAATTGGCAGTGAACACAGAAACTGTAGAGAGGATCTTGAAAGCAACCATGAAACCATAAACCATGGAAACAGAAGAATGGTTTGAAAGATGTTAGGCAAAGAGAAGACTGTACTTCTAATTGGAAGTATCAGCCTTCCTCAGATGCCTCAAAGAAAGGTCATAGGTGGGAATGGAAATGAGCTATGGTGGGATGATCATCGGACTCAACAACTTCATCCAATGACACCAAATTCAGTCAGCAGTGTCTGGATACGAAGGCCAAAAGGAAGAATGGCAGATCATTTATTCTGAAATAGCACAGCTCACTGAGTAAAGAAGACACAACCTCAGGTGGGATGCTGTGGTAAGGATCAAAGCTTGGCAGCATATTGTAAAGAGAGTTGCAAATGGCAGAGGTAAAAAGGATGTCCATGGGACTCAGTGTACAGACTCTGGACTGGCAAAGTGCAGAAAGCCCCTGTGCAGAGCCAAAGCCTCAGATGGTGAACAGGGTCCAAAATCTTCAAGACAGAGAGCCTGATAGAACCATTAACCCCTAGTCCAGCTTGGATTGTATGAGATAGAGAGAGATAGATCTTGAGAATGGGACATCAGTGTGCTCCCCAAGAAGTGGAAGAGAGGACATGGAGGATGTTCAGTGCCTTTGTACACATGACATGAAGCTGCTTGATGTGAAAAATGAAAGTAAGCCTATGGTCAAAGATAAGCCCCATGAACTTTACCTCAGAAACCACAGGAAGAACAACACCATCGAGATGGAACTCAGGATCTGGGTGTAAACCCCCTTGATGGCAAAAATGAATGCAAACAGTTCTAGAGAAAGAAAAGGTACAATTGTTTGCTGTGGTCCACTTCATCAAGTGAGGGCAGTATGAAGCAGCCGCTCAATAAACCTCATGTTTGATGAACGACAAGAAATGTGGAAGTCATCAACACAGAGACCATTAGCAACAATAAGAGGAAGTTGTTTAGTGATAGCATTGATCTTGATACTGAAAATGGTGACACTCAAGACACAACCTTGAGGGACTCTAAGTTCCTGTGTGAATGTTTGAGAAAGGGTCAAACCTACATGGACTTGGAATCACCTGTCAAGTAAAATGTTACAAATAAAAATGGGTAAATGGCCATGCAAACCATGTAAATGGAAGTTCCTAAGCCTTCTCAAAATCAAAGAAAAGGGACAGAAGATGCTCTCAAAGCATTTGGGTGATAATTAGAAGGAATCTTAGGATCCTTCCTAGGCTTTGAAGAATGTAGAACAATAGCCTTGCGCCATGTATCATAAAAACATTCTCTTGCCAAATCTGGTTAAAAACAACCAGAAGAAGAGCACGAGAGGCAGGAGAGAGATGGCACAGCATCTCATAGTGAATGTTATCAGGCCCAACTGATGTACTGCCAGACCAATGAAAAGTGAGCTTAAGTTCCACCAGTGTAAATGGGCAATTATAATCCTAGATACGATCTGCCTGAAAGGTAAGGGGCAGTCGCTCAGCCCAAGACTTGATTGTCAAGGCGAGAGGAGACAGAAGTGCTGGAGATATAAGCAAAGCTCTCCTCGAAAGTGTTGGTGACATTCT